ACTTCACCCAGATCTGACCGTTCATTGGGTTTAAACATTGTGAAGTCTGTGTAATATGTGATGTAATATGTGATGTAATATGTGATGTAATATGTGATGTAATATGTGATGTAATATGTGATGTAATATGTGATGTAATATGTGATGTAATAAGGGACCTGACCTGAGTCTCATAATTCCTCAGGTGGCTGTGAAACACACGACAGACTTCAGAGCTTCACATTTAAAGAACTTTCATATTTGTTGTTTTTTCAGCAGCAGGAGGAGACGACTCCAAAGAGATCAGGTCGGAGGGGACGACCGGCGAAGGGAGCATCAGCTGCAGAGGACTCAGGTGAGGAAGTCCTCTAACGTCCCAGACCTCCCAGTACTCCCAGTACTGAAACAGCTGATCCTGCTGGCCCAGTACAGTGGTGATAAAGTAGACCGTGTCATGTTTGAATTCAAACTCTCTGTCCTCCAGATAAAAAAGACAAAAAGGCCGAAGACAGCGAGCAGAACGAAGACGAGGACGAGGACGACGGCGAGCGGGACGAGGAGGGAAAAGGAAAGGCGACCAGAGCGACCACACGGGCGGCGTCTCGTCTGGAGGCTGAAAGGTCACCGCTCACATTTTACATTTCAAACATTCAGTGATCAACAAACTGCTGAATGAGGTCATGCTTAACCTGCTGAGACCAGAGACCAGAGACCAGAGACCAGAGACCAGAGTCCAGAGTCCAGAGTCCAGAGACCAGAGACCAGAGACCAGAGTCCAGAGTCCAGAGTCCAGAGACCAGAGTCCAGAGTCCAGAGACCAGAGTCCAGAGACCAGAGACCAGAGACCAGAGACCAGAGTCCAGAGTCCAGAGACCAGAGTCCAGAGTCCAGAGACCAGAGACCAGAGACCAGAGTCCAGAGACCAGAGACCAGAGACCAGAGACCAGAGTCCAGAGACCAGAGTCCAGAGACCAGAGACCAGAGACCAGAGTCCAGAGTCCAGAGTCCAGAGTCCAGAGACCAGAGTCCAGAGTCCAGAGTCCAGAGACCAGAGACCAGAGTCCAGAGACCAGAGTCCAGAGTCCAGAGACCAGAGTCCAGAGTCCAGAGACCACAGACCACAGACCACAGACCACAGACCACAGACCACAGACCAGAGTCCAGAGTCCAGAGTCCAGAGTCCAGAGACCAGAGACCACAGACCACAGACCACAGACCAGAGACCAGAGACCAGGCCACACAGAGACCAGAGTCCAGAGTCCAGAGTCCAGAGTCCAGAGTCCAGAGTCCAGAGTCCAGAGTCCAGAGACCACAGACCACAGACCACAGACCAGAGACCAGAGACCAGGCCACACAGAGACCAGAGACCAGAGACCAGAGACCAGAGACCAGAGTCCAGAGTCCAGAGTCCAGAGACCACAGACCACAGACCAGAGACCAGAGACCACAGACCACAGACCAGAGACGACACAGACCACAGACCAGAGACCAGGCCACACAGAGACCATGTTTAACCTGCTGAGACCAGAGACCAGAGTCCAGAGACCGGACCACACAGAGATCAGAGACCAGAGTCTCCAAGACAGAGACCTTTAGGGATCCAGACCTTTAGGGATCCAGACCGAGCAGCGACTGTTGTTTCATGTTTATTTTTTATTGTTTTTCAGAAACAAGCCGAGCAAACCGTCGACCCGGGCGAGTCGTCTGACGGGTAAAGACGAGACCGCAGCGGGCACGCGGTGAGTTTGACTCTTTGATGTTTCAGCAGAACTTCAGGAACTCGTCGTGTGTGTCGTCACGTTTAGAAATCCGTCTTGTGTTTGATCCTCGCTGTGCTCGCCGTGAATCCACAGAGACAAAAGGTCACATCTCACTCTTCCTCCTTGTTTCTTTCCCGCAGCGGGACGAGGGGCCAGGCTGCAGCGGTCAAGGGGGCCGCAAAAGGGAGGCCAGCCCCCCTGCTGTGCGGACGCGGGGGGAAATCAGACGAGCCCCCCCCAAGAGAGCCAAACGCTAAAACAACGAGAAGACGGCGTCCGACTGCAGACGACATCATCATTCCTCTGAGCCAATCAGAGGCCTGAAGCTCTGAGATGACGTCGGGAACGCCTTCCCCTCGGCAGACGCCGCCGTCACACACCCGAGGAGGTCGTGGTGAATCGTTGTTTTCATTCTGTGAATGAAAGGAGTCGTTGCTTTTACTCTTTAAAACGTGTTTTTTGATGTGAGAGCGGCGGCGAGGTGCGCCGTACCTGCTGCACGCTAACGACTGTTTGTACCTACAGCGAGGTGATGTCGTCGTTTTTTTACTGTTTTAGAATAAACTCTTCGAAATCTTTCTTACAAACAAACTGAACTCTGCTTCGTTTATTCTCCCGATACTTTAAAATAACGTCTTTCTTTTAGAACCAGAAAAAACTTCTAGGAGAGTTTCCCCAAAAATCTCAAACACGTTGAACTGAGATCTGAACTGATCCAAAGGTCACCGATGCACCGTGGAGTTCGTCTCAAGCAGTAACCTCCAGTGTTGAAAATGAATCTGATCCTGTAGACCAGTGGTTCTCAAACTATGGTACTCAAACTCCCTGTGGTGGTACGCAAGAAATCTCCACGATATAAAAAAAACCTGTTCAGCATAAAACAACATTTTTTATTTTTGTCGTGCTCTTATCTTATCTGTCTCGTATTTATATTAAATGTGTTTTCCCCTCAGAGTGAGCAGCAGGTAGAGCCAGCTCCGTACAACCTTATAACATTTAACTTTCTAGACCATAAAACATATTTAAGACCATATTCTGACATCGGACAACGAGACAAAACTTATTATGACATCGGACAACGAGACAAAACTTATTCTGACATCGGACGACGAGACTAAACTTATTCTGACATCGGACGACGAGACTAAACTTATTCTGACATCGGACGACGAGACAAAACTTATTCTGACATCGGACGACGAGACTAAACTTATTCTGACATGAAGAAGGAGAGCAGTCGGAGATTCATGCAAAAAACTTAGCAAACTTCTTCTCCGGCCTCGGCCCCCAATGGTGAAAGTCACAAGATGGCGGGCGGGGAACAAGAAGACGACTTGCCTATTTCTGTGAGAACTCTTCGGAACGAGCTACAGGCTTATCGAGACGGTAAACACGCAGCTCGAGATATGTAAAGATATGTCATCTCTTCGAGAAGAAGCTAAAGCGGATACCAAAGCGCTGCGAGATGAACTCTCAACACACGCTGAGAAAAGAAATGGAAACATCACTCAACGACGCCTCTCACAGACTTGTAACTCTGGAGGATTCGCACGAATCGCTAACGAAGGAGTTAAAGAGGCTACAGGATAAATGCACAGATCTTGAGAACAGAAGCCGCAGACAAAATCTACGTATCATCGGTATGGCAGAGGGCGTTGAGGCCGGCAACCCGAGCCGGTTTGCAGCGGAGTTTCTCGCCGAAGTGCTCGGTGAGGAAAACTTTGCATCACCTATCATCATAGACCGGGCTCACCGGACCCTCGCACCGAAGCCACGGAAAGACGAACGCCCATGAGCCATGATTATTCGCCTACACTACTCCGACAAGGAAAAGATCCTAACATTATCCCGGAATAAAGGACGTCTTCATTATAAAGGTTCCCCCGTCCACATCTTCCCCGATATGAGCCCTGAGGTTGGCCGGCTGCGAGCATCTTTCAACCAGGTAAAAGCCAAGCTGCGGACCGCTGGAGTCCCATACAGCCTGTATTATCCAGCGAGACTGATAATAACAGTGGACGGCTCCAGACACACATTCAACGACCCATCAAAAGCATCTCCACTACACCTTGTTGAGGGAACGGAATAAAAACTGCATAATACGATCGGAATAAGAGGAGACCAGCCAATCTGTTAATTATCAGGCTGAATATATGAACATCATACAGGTTGGATTTCCCTGCAGACATGTGAGTTTCAGACAGATGTCCTTATAAAAAAAAGTCAGGTTAGTTGACAAAAAACTTTTTTTTGTTTTTGCAAATCGTTATTGCTTTCCTTTTCCTACTTATCCTTTCCCAATAAGGAGGAATTGAAGAATTCAATTTGTTATGCTATTATTTATCTTTGTGATAAGTCACTAATTATGTTACAAATAATACTAAATTTACATACCAGATTTACTTTTTGTCAAGATCAAAATAGGAAACTGGGGAAAAGGAATTTTAATTTAATTTTTGTACTCACTCATAAATACACTCGTTGAGAAGTTAAGAAGCGGAGAAGGTTCTTAGAAAGTATTGTTTGTAGTCATAAGCTGGTCTAGAAACAAAAGATAAAACACTTACTGGAGCTAAGTGGTGAGTCATATGTCCATGTAGCTCTTCTTTTTGGTTTTGCCGGGTATGTCTTTCGTTTGGGGAAAGACAGAGTGAGGTCTAAGTTAAGTTTCAAGGGGGTATTTTTGTTGTTCATTTTTATTCATGTTTTTTTTAATTTTTTTTTTACTATGGAGGATGTCTACAAAAACCGTAAATATGGGAGCATTTACCATGAAGTGCTATAATGATGGCTAAAAACACTAACCTTAGCAAAGCAGTGTTGCAGAACTTGGTCAAATTCATTACATGGAACTGCAAGGGACTCAATGGGGCCGTAAAGCGAGGCAATATTCTAGCGCATCTGGAAAAACTTGGAACAGAAATTGGGTTTCTACAAGAAACACATTTGAAAAACCAACATCATAACAGACTCCGTTGCAAATGGGTAGGACAAGTATTCCATTTCAAATTTAATGTTAAAAGTAGAGGCACAGCAATAATAACTAAGAGAGCAATCCCTTTCACGGCATCTACAATCATATCAGACCCTAAAGGAAGATATATCATAGTAACAGGGAACTTGTATAATAATCCAGTAATACTAGCAAACATATATGCTCCCAATGTAGATAATGAGCACTTTATACAATCTTTCTTTTCAAAATTACCGGATATGGAATCTCATCAGCTCATTCTTGGGGGTGACTTCAACCTAGTATTGGACCCGAGTTTGGACCGGTCTTCACATAGGCCAATAGCTATATCAAAATCAGCAAAAGTTATTCATAACTTTATGCAAACATATAAAATAACAGATCCATGGAGAGCTTTGTTTTCGAATACATGTAAATACTCTTACTTCTCTCCAGTCCACCATTCCTACTCCAGAATAGATTTTTTCTTGATAGACTCCAAACTGTTATCATCAGTTAAAAGCTGTGAATATGAAACAATAGTACTCTCTGATCATAGTCCTGTAGCTCTCCATTTAGCTCTTGGACACAAACATACATCTAGAGTATGGAGGTTTGATAATTGCTTGTTGTTGGATAAAAAATCTGTAGAGGAAATAAAAAAACAAATGGATCTGTATTTATTTACTAATGATACACCAGAAATATCAAGATCTACACTGTGGGAGGCTCTAAAAGCTTATATGAGAGGACAGATAATTTCATGGAGCAGCTTAATTAATAAACAGCGTAGAGACAAGGAAAACAAACTTACAAAGGAAATAGTGGAAATAGATAAAAAATACTCAATCTCCCCTTCACCAGACTTGCATAAACGAAAACTATATCTTCAAACAGAACTCAACTTACTGTATACAACAGAAACAACGAAACTCCTTACCCAAAGAAGACATAAACATTATGAATATGGAGAAAAGGCTGGAAAGATATTAACACATCAAATAAGAGAACAAGCGGCAACAAGATTAATTTTGGAAATAAGAACAGATTCAGGACAAACTACAATAGATCCTGTAGAGATTAATAATACCTTTAAAGAATTTTATATAAAATGATACTCCTCAGAATCTGAAGAAGACTCAACATTAATTGAGAACTTCTTTGATAAATTGAACATCCCAACAATAAGCTCGGAATACGAACAACAGTTAGAAAAACCCATAACAAAAGAGGAAATAGAAAAAGCAATACAAAACATGCAAAGCTCAAAGGCCCAGGTCCAGACGGCTACACTGCAGAATTTTATAAAGCATTTAAAAACCAACTATCACCGATACTGTTAGAAGTATTTAATGAAGCACTGATCAAAGGTTGTCTACCACCTACTTTCTATCATGCCAGCATCTCCTTAATTTATAAGAAAGATAAAGATCCGCTAGAACCAGGTTCATACAGACCAGTGAGCTTACTGGATGTTGATAATAAGATTCTTGCTAAGATTTTAGCTACACGATTGGAAGATATCCTTCCAACAATAATTTCTCATGATCAAACTGGATTCATAAAAGATAGACAGTTGTATTTCAATATCAGAAATTTATTTAATATAATTTACAACCAGGAAACAAACAACCAGCTTCCCGAGATACTAATATCTTTGGATGTGGAGAAGGCCTTCGACAGGGTCGAATGGGACTACCTCTTCTCGGCCTTGTCAAGGTTCGGATTCGGCACCAGATTTGTTTCCCTAATTAGATTATTATATGCAAAACCGCAGGCCTCCATACAGACAAACAATATTAGGTCCAGTTACTTTCCACTGAGCCGCTCTACAAGACAGGGATGTCCCTTATCACCATTATTATTTGCCTTAGCCATCGAACCCTTTGCTGTTTCACTACGCACAGCAAAGGAATATATAGGAATAAAAAGAGAAGGGACTGAATACAAATCGCTATACACAAATGATTTATTACTATATATCTCCAAACCTGCAATATCATTACCAATCATAATGTCCATAATATCAGATTTTGGAGGTATCTCAGGATACAAACTCAATTTATCAAAGAGCATACTATTCCCGATAAATGTAAAAGCACACCAAAGTATTAATTCTTTCACATCCTACCCATTTGCAACTTCAGGTAAATTCAAATACTTTGGAATTAATATAACCCAAGAATACTCCAGTCTTTTTAAACATAACTTTTCAAAACTATATGATCAAACAGTACAGGACCTAGATAGATGAGCTAACTTTCCAATTTCATTAGCAGGACGAATCAATATCATCAAAATGAATATTCTACCCAAGTTTTTATTCCTCTTCCAGTGCATTCCGATTCTCATTACCAAAGTTTTTTTCAAG